GCCCTCCCACCAGACAAATAATACATGATAAACATGATAGCTATTCTGATTGATACATTGCCAGTGGCACTTGAACATCTTGGTAGGGACTGTGATATCAAAATTTAATAACCTTTATCTACAGGCAAGCATCAGGAGAAGCTAATAGAAACTTATGGGAGCAAAATATATTTAGGAAATTCAGAACTGAAACAATAATAATGATAGGATGTTTGGGATCAAAAATAAGTTAATATAGCATCATTGGGCAGTAGGTGTTCATGTCACAGCATTACTTTAAAATATCACTATAAAAAAATAAAGTTCAGAAATATTTCTGGAGACACAGTCGCTCAATATCACAATGAAACAAAATAAACTAAAATATTCTTTGATATTGGTGCACACCTTTCACAGAGGTTGGCTGGGGTTAACGGACATCTGCTGGCTAAAATAGCAAGTCTTCCTGATAGCTCCGTGCATGCCACAAATGCATAAATCTTCTACTGTCTTCCAGTTGTAGACTAATTCTTGCTGTATGCTCTGGAGCTTTAGCACAGCTGTGCAGTTAGATGGAAATTGAGAATCATTTAGACACAGATTTCATTCTCTAGTCTAATTAAGAGTGAGCAGGTAGGTAGTCAATGGAGTCCACAAAGCTCTTCCAGTACCATGGATCTTCTTAATGGTTACTGGATATAAAGGATATAGACAGAGAACAGAGACTAATAGCATTCAGATGTCCTTTAAAAAGAACACTGAATTACTCAACACAAAAAGCCCTTAACTCAGGTTGTTAAAAATAAAGATAAAGAATCAAGTCAAGTTCAGAATTTGACTTTAAATGAAGACAAGAAATCTTGAAATAGGGTTTTTTCTGCTGCTTTTCACAGGTTCCTTTTTTGCTAAAAAGGAAAAAAAGCCATAAGCCCTGACTATGAAGCCAGTGTAGTCTGTGCTGATAGAAGTTTTATGAACAAACTACATTAAATGGCTATTTTATTTTCTTCAGGACACTCTTCAGTTGAATGTCTACAAAACGCGTATAAACATTCTGCCACTGCAGATTTATCCGCCACAGAGTATGTTGCGTGGAATACTTGAAAACGCAAACTTAAAAGTTAAGTCATCGGGAATTCATATGGAAAAAGCTCACAAAGTCATAGCACAGCTACTGTCATCGAGACAAATAGTTTTATATACAGATCTTGTTTCTTCAAAATCTCCAGAAAAATAGCGGTGTGTGTTGGGATATAAATCACTAGCCTGGAGAATAAAGCCGCAAACTATATTTGATATGCTTTTTTGTATAAAAATATCTTAGAATTTTCTCTAAGCATTTTTAGTCTTAGCAAGCCTTCAATCCAGATCACCTCTGGTAGTAAAATCAAACTTCAGCAGCTAAATCAAGTTAGTAAAATGTGGTGATACATATTCTGCCCATGACAACCTTTGCTTGAAGTCACTGTGGAGCCACATCCTGACACGGGCCTAAGGAAAAAGCTATGGGAGTTTTCACTTCCAGGAAAGTTAGTATGAAGTTTTCTGTGTGCTTCTCATTACTAGCAATACTGCAATAAAGGTAAAATTACTAATAATAGCATTAACTGCATTAATCAGCATTAGCATTACTGCTAATAGGAGTAATATTTTATGCAAAACAATAACATATACAAGATAATGCTAGTACCACTGAAAAAGCTCATAATTCTCTTCATAGGATATGATTTTTAATAACCAGAAGAGATGATCAGGCCCTCAATTTAGCTCTCATTTGAAAGTCATAATCCTATACTCCCTCACTGGAGTTACTTGACACAAATACTGTACTAACCAGAAGTCTGCTGTTAAAAAAAAAAAATCTCCCCATCCAAAGACTTATATTAATTCTAGAAGTCTTTAAGTTGAAAGAGAAGCTTTGGTCTCAATGGCTTTAGCAATCTGTACTAAGGGATCCTATTCTTTACTTCACAGTATTTGTCCCATTAAGTTATGAAGAAAATAGTCTTAAATCTCTGCAACATGATATAAGAGATGTTGACCAGTGAAAATTGTGCTGTGACAGTTCTTGAATCAGACAGACCACGTAATGAATTCAAGTCTGATAGGTTAAGTGTCCTATGGACACTGTTAAGTGCATCATCAGCCCCTTCTGGGCCTCCTTCTCCACATTGGAGCTGTTAGGCCTCACTAGAGGCAGTAAAAGGGACAATGGAAGTAGGTGAGTGATTTTGTAAAGGCAATTGTTCCACTTCTGCATTTCAGCATTGCAATTTCTCTTTCAGAATGACCCAAGATCAGTGTTAGCAAAAGAGGGGAAAAAAATCCACCAACTTCTCCAGTCTGTCATAAAAAACAACTCCAACTCAAACCCTCAAGGAATGTTTTACAGATACTTAAGTGTTGGAGACTAACAAAGAATAAACTTATCCAAACTTCAACAGTTTATTCCATTTTTTTTTTTCTGCTCCTGAATGATTTAAAATTAGGAAGTTTTACAAGTTTGCTGGGAGCTGTGAAGGGTTGCCATCACAACCCTCTGTTTCAGGAACTTTTTAAAAGTTATGTTCCTATATGGATTCAGACAGCTGAAAAGAGTAGCCTTCAACCAAACATAGTATTATCACCACTCCCAAGCAAAGAAAGGCAAGGAAAGTGCTTCTCAATAAAGATGTTTCACACGAGACATTGTCTTGTGAGGAGCAGCAGAAGGATGAAAGCAGTGGAAAGAAAAGGTGGCAAGGAAGTTGCAGATACTAGAGTCCTGTAATACGACCTCTGAAGAGAGGCAAAAGGGAGAATTTGGTGGCTGAGTTGTGACTAAAAGCTATTAGAGTGGAAGAAGAAAGAAATTAGCTGTAACCGGTCAGAGAAACAGGCCTTGGTATATTCTCAGCAAGCATCACAGAAACATATTTTCCATTTTTCATGCCTTATCAGAACAACTTTAATGTTCTGCAGTTTGGAGAGACCACATAGACCCAAAGGAGTAATTTGATTTTTTTTTTTTTTTTGTCTGTGGTCTTTTTCCCTGCAGCTATCATTTTGAATTAGAAATACACAAGTAATAACTTCCAATATTACATATGCCATAAAAAAGCAACACCACAACAACAAAAAACTACTGGCTTAATCCTACAAAGATGCTTCTTGAAACTAAAAGCAAGCCAGGCCCTAGCACAGTCTCCAGACATATCCGTCACTCAAAGAAAATTGAGACTCTTGATTTCCCTCTCTGTGGTCATACTTGGAGCAAAACAATCTGTGCTTCTTTTTCCAAAATTATAAACCAAATATGGAAAACAAAGCCAGGGACCTGGGGAGCGATAATAATATTCAGAATAATCATGAGCTTATTTAGGGATGCCAGCCATGTTTGATTAATAAAATTTGCCTGCTTATTTATATATACACACTAGAAAATCAAAGAAACAAGCAGTGATTTGCTAAACTGAACTAGTGAGATAACAGAACAGACTATAATCTCATTTGAGCAATGCTACCATACGATACAGGTAAAAGAACAGTCATACATCCCCCTATTGTAATTCAGTAATTAATATATATGTGCTTAATAAAGTTACTTCAGTCCACTTACAAATAAAGTTTTCTACAGATCCCACACTACAGCATTTCTTTTTCATGGCCTGGTAAAATTTTGCCTGAGATTGAGTATGTTGAGTACACTAAGCATATTTTAGGATTTAATACTCCCTGCCTATTTAAAGGCATGTAATTAATACACAGGATAACTCACTAAAGTCATAATTAAATAGTTAAGTACTTTCACTTCTGCTTTGCCATGGCCAAATACAAAGCCTTATTTTTAGTATAAAAAAGAACAGCTAGCTACCACGTCTCCCCAAAATAAGCTAGCAGCAGGTTTATATGTGAACCTCTGACACTCACACATTGCATGCAGCTACGCTGCCAACAACTCTCATGCACACATTGTATCAGGAGAAGCTAGGAGTTGAGTGGGGTGACAGTTAAGTCCCTGCAACCCTCTGACCTCCCCAGACACATATGAATCAGTTATAGCCAAGCTAGTACAACCACAAGGCCCCTGGCTAGTTCGCATCCATAACTGCAACATAACAACATGTGAGCTTCCTAAATATAAACTCTCATACTGTTCCTATATTAGGGGCTCAGGGCTCATTTCAGCCTTATGATTGTCATTGATCTCACACATTCGTAAAAAATACATGGATAGCGGCTGCAAATATCTTTGGAGTAATTATGGATCACAAAGAATAATTGTAAAGAAATATCAGGTGGCACAAAGGGGATGAAATGCATTCATCACAAATGTTCTGCAATTACAGTTGCAATTACAAAGCATACAAGGTCCTAATTTTAGTACTGATGTCATGGGAGTGAGTCTGTGAAATCCTATTCAAGTACACCATATTAATCACACAATTGAGATGCTAATTATTAATGTTTTATTTTTCTCTTTCCACTGAGTTACATAAAAAAGATTGACAGAACTGCACTTCTGAAGCCTAAGAGAATATTTTAGCTATTCTTGAAAAAATCTTTTTAGTAAAAAATACAAAGTTTCACAAGGAAAAAACAATTATAGCATCAGAATTAACTAAAATGCTAGCCTGCTTTGTTTTATTGAGCATGACGTGTTAAGTAGTGACGTAAGTGTACTGAATATGTAGCAGGGAGCCTAGTACTCCAGAAGACTATTCTCAGTTTTAATCCTTCACTTTGTGGCCTCAGGAAAATGCTCAGATACTGGAAGAATTCATCGTGCAGATCTTGAGTTACATTTTTGGTTTCGGTTTTACAGAGGAAAAAAAATGAAAACTTTAGAAAAACTAACCAAACAGAAAAGCAACCTGGAATGTCACAGAAGTATCACATGGCCCCAAGATGGCTCTCCTATTTAAAGGAATTATTAAAAATAAACTTTTATATTTTTCCACTTAGTTTCTTAGATTTCTGCAAGAAAATCATTGAGGTTGCATGAATAAAAATGTCAAGTCACCTTGTGAGTTTTCACTTACCTTCTGAAACCACCAGTTACGGTAACTAAAGCATCCGGTAGAAACATATGCACAGCCTTCTTGACAATCAAGTCTACTGCCTCTACTTCTGCCTCAGATACACGGCTAACCAGGTCTTCATAGTAGAGGAGCCCTAAGCATCAAAGGTAGAACAGTGACCAATATGAAATTACGAAAATCCTGTTGCAATATGTAAGCCAGATGTGAAACAAGGAGCCACCAAGAAACCAAACCACTTTGTACGTAGAGAATCACAGTGCTCCCTTCTGACTTACGCTTATATTGCCCAATAGAGCAGAAACCTCCACAGAGCAGATGATAGGATCTCCTTCAGAAAACACCAGCAGCACTACCTGTTGTCCCAATCAATCCTACTTCTCCCTTTCTGACTGAAGCAAACAACATTTTCTCATCTTACTATAGAACTCTCTCTTCAACTCATATGAGCCAAGAGGAGGAACGACCTAGATCTACCAGGGGTCCCGCCAACATCCAAATCTTCAGAAAGACCAGCTCAAGCTGACAAAATGTCAGGGTTTTTCATCTGGGGAAGCAGTACACACTTCCTTATAGAGCAGCTATAATTTATCAGTATCAAGGCGTCAGTCAGAGTAATAGTATTACCTGTTTCTGCTCTTTGAGAACTTGACTATGTATTTATAAATCTTCCCACCAGTTCTTACTAGTGGCCTTTCTGGGTATACAGCTTTGAAAGGTACTTTTCCTGAAATGGCAGAATTGTATCCAAGTACAGGTCTCAAGATTACTGGATATGCAAAGTATCACAGTTGTCTTTATTATTAAAAGAATGCAGTCTTGCAACTTGCTTCAACTCATTTGAATAGGATTCTAAGGAAAAGAATTCTAAGATAGTCCCAAACACATCGATGCAAAAATAAAGTTATGTGATTCTAACACCACATTATAGAATCTCTTCTTTTAATGTGGTGGATTATTTTGTTTAAATGGGTTCTTTTACTTAAGGAAGTGGCACAGAAAAGTGAAGGAACATTATTCATTTCATGATGTTTAATAATTCATTGTCTTTAGCAAAGAGTAAGATAAACCAAAATTGTGGTGTTATTCTATAAGTGTCCATAACTTACTTTTAGAACTGGATTCACCTCCAGAGGAGGGTTGTTTTGAAGGAGACAAGTCTCCTCTGAAAAATAGTGTTAGTTTTGAGGTTTTCCACAACCTGTGTAATATCCCATTAATAGCTTTGTATATAAGAGCATATTTTTGGCATCTATATAAGTAATACAAAAATGCATATTTGTATTTTTGGAAAGACATTTAAGTGAGGTTCCTGATATCCCAACTACTATTTTTAAACATAATATTCCAAAGATACCTCAACAATAAAATAGATGCATAAATAAACCTTTGTCTCTATGTCAATTCTCTTTTCAAGTTCTCAGAGCTCAGTGATGATGAATTTTCAGTAAGTCTTTTGTTGGGATCTTACCTACTCTCTGCATTTTTGATAGCTTCAGGGTCTTCTCAGCTTTTACTTCTTCCAGAGTCCGTAAACCCATCCTGTACCACTTCTCAGATGTCTTCACTCCCACTCCAAAGACTGAAGTAAATTGCTAAGTTCAGGGAAAGA